GAGTATTCCATCAAATTGTAAGACTAAATTTTGTATTAAAATAAAGTTATCGAATTGTTAGAAACATTGTTCTCCATGAGAAAATAATTTTAAAACCAGTTTTGAAATGACTGTTGAAATGCTTTCATAACAGGACAAAAATGAAGCAAAGTAATGTAAATGATGAGATTTTTGAAACATCTTTAATGAGTAAAAAATATTCATTTAAAATCCATTTTAACTAAGCTACTTAGGACATTATGTTTTTGCTTTCATTTTAAAAGCAAAGGTCAGGGCTTCCCTGGTGGCTCAGTGGTTAGGAATCCGCCTGCCAATGCAAGGGACACGGGTTCAATCCCTGGTCTGGGAAGATCCCACATGCCGTGGAGCAACTAAGCCCGTGCGCTACAACTACTGAGCCTGCGCTCTAGAGCCTGTGAGCCACAACTACTGAAGCCCGCACACATAGAGCCAGTGCTCTGCAACAAGAGATGCCCCCGCAATGAGAAGCCCACTCATCGCAGCTAGAGAAAGCCCGCTTGCAGCAATGAAGACCCAACGCAGCCAAAAATAAATTTAAAAAATAAATAGAATTTAAAAATAAAATAAAAGCAAAGATCGGGGCTTCCCTGGTGGCTCAGTGGTTAAGGATCCGCCTGCCAATGCAGGGGACATGGGTTTGAGCCCTGACCCGGGAAGATCCCACATGCCGCGGAACAACTAAGCCCGTGTGCCACAACTACTGAGACTGTGCTCTAGAGCCTGTGAGCCACAACTACTGAAGCCCACGCGCCTAGAGCCCCGTGCTCCGCAACAAGAGAATCCACAGCAACAAGAAGCCTGCGTACCGCGATGAGGAGTAGCGTCCTCTCGCTGCAACTAGAGAAAGCCCACTCACAGCAATGAAGACCCAACGCAGCCAAAAGTAAATAAATAAATAAACTTATAAAAAATAAATAATAAGCAAAGGTCAGAGGATTTTATTATCTGATGATCATGTTATTCATACAGTATGGATAGAATCAGTTAAGGATGCTTGAAAAGGGATTCAAGTGTCTATTAGAAGAGTTCAGTTTTATACATATATAAATGGTCTTCCAAAGCTGCTATATCATCACTAAATACATGAAAATAATAAAAGAAGCACACCTGTGAGAAAAAGTTGACATTTAATTTAAGAGTAATTTCATTGCATTAAAACTTTCTGTGTGTTTATGACTTTAGAGTTTTCTACAGTAAGGTAAATGAGGCAATTTCACCCTTTTTATGTTGCATCTTTGTTAGGAGTGAGCGTCATATCTAATTAGGTTCTTTGGTATTATTTTTGGTAAATGCACTGGCAATTCATGTTTTGTTTGTTTTGTTTTATGTTTGCTGCATTAACATTACTTAGCAGACAAAGTTTAAAAAAAAAACAACGAAAAACCTTTGTAAACCAGGAAGAAAAGTTCCAAGGAAAATATATTGCTAGAAATTAAAATGCGTATTTGAACAGAACTTGTAGAACTAAATATTAACTAAATTTCATTATGACAGGAATAATTGTTTTGCCTGAGCAATATTTCTGATAGTTCACATTTTCCTGAAGATATATAAAAGAAGCAGAATTACTGGTAGTAAGAAAATGCCTGGTAAATGGGAGCTAATTTTATTTTTACCTGACCATCTGGTAGCCAAGCACTTTAAATATTAAACTGAAGCCTGTAGACTTACAATTAAATTCATTGAAATACGGTTTAGTATATTAATGGCTTAAAATTATAACAGTATGAATAACTTTTTTTGTAGGACATTTGTCATCTTACCTGTATCCACAAAACCTGTGTAAGAACACAATAAATTTGACTCTGGTGTGAGCATTTCATAGTGGGTTAAATGTCCAGTTACCTTTTTCTTAAAATCCACAGCTATATGTTTTCTCTGACAAATCTGAGTTTGAATTATTTGGATCATTTTCTAATGTGAGCCATAAAAATAAATAGCATACACGCTTAAATGTGCTTTTTTGCATTTCTACAACCTAAACACCAGTTGGGTTGAAAAAAAATAAAATTTAACAGCTTTTAATTTGTCATGTGGAATCTGATTCTATGTGCTTTTTATTACCTCCATATATTTATCTAAGTGAAACATAAAATTGTTGTAATAATGGAGAATTTAAAGCAGCTTTTGCACATGAGCAGTAATGCTAACTAATATGGTGAATAAAGACTGAATGTAAATTCTCAGAATTTGTTTCTTGTGATGTGTTTGCTAAAATGAGTACATTTTGGTTAGCTGATACAAGCTCCTCATCATCCTGGTTAAGCTATGAAGAAATTTGATGGACAGAATGGAAAAAAAAGGGAGTAACCATTTACATGCATGTAGAAGCCATATATGTGTATGTATGTATGTATATATATAATTTTCAAACTGTGATACAGTGTACATTACATCATTACGTCACAGAACCTGTCAAAATGTAGACTCATAGCCCTTTCTTTGCTGGAGTAATGCTTTGATATTCCCACATATACCTCTAGAGATAACCTAGATATGGCAGAAATCAGTATAATCTAATACCACCAGTTCCTATTGATTCTCCCTCATTTATGTCTCTTAAATTCAGCCTCTCCTTTCCATTTTCCTTGCCTCTCCGTTTAGGCCTTGAATTTTCTTTCATTTGTGCTATTCCAACAGCCACGTTTCTGTCCACAGCACCAACATTTCGCCATTCCAGCCCAATTATTCATTTCTATGAGTTTTATTTATCCAACAAAGCTGGCTATGTCGCTTCACTGCTAACAGAATTCTTTTAGACATCCTATAAATCTATAATATCACCTCCAAACTCCTTAACTTGGCATACCCATTCTGAAAAAGACCCTAGTTAGCCCATACTTAGGCACTCCTAAAAACACCAGAACTTGTCTCACCTTCCTCCTGTTTGCCTTCTACTTATCCATTATAACGCTCTCGTCTTCTAAAGCTTTCTGGACCCCTCAAGGCAAAAGCAGGTGATTCACTGAAGTGTTTTTTCACAATATTTTGCTCATATCTAATTTAGAGAATTAACTTTTCAATTATTTTATATGCCCATAATCTTAACCATTCTGAGCTTCATAGAGACAAAGATGATCGTGTTCATATTTGTATCTTTAGAACTAAACATAGCATATGGAAGTGAATGTTCTCACTAAACATTTGTTGAATGAATGACTGGATGAATAAATGAATCCAGGAAAGTCTGGATAAAAGGCCAACAGAAAGATATTATTAGAAAACTTGTTGAATGTAGAAAGACAATTCCAAACAGTAATAAAACATATACTACATATTATTCTGATTGTCTGGAGACCATTTCACACAGAACAATATTTTCCTCTCATATCATGCTGAATGATATATTTTTCATGATAATGATGAATCAATAGGAAAATATTTTTAATTTTCCATAAACTAAATTTTCCATTAACTTCAGCCATTGTGTAAATTTGTAAAACTACATTTATTCTATAATGTACATTATTTGCATTAATTTAATATAAAGTTACATGTAAACTCAGGCCCACAGATCTTACTGTTAAATGTTTGCCCTGTTCTATCTAACTAGCTATCATCTATTTCTGTCTACTCAGATATATTAAATCAGGCCATAATCCAAGGAGATATTCTCTAGAAAAGAATAATGATTCATGGTGCTAGAGTCCTATGAAACTTATCTTGGTTTTCAGATTATTGGCCTTAATATGGTGATCAATGCAAGAAGGGCTAGTGAAAATTTTGTAAGCAAATAAAAACTTGTATGAGGCTAAATATTATTGGGTATGTCTAGATAGATAAGATTACTTTTATAGTTTGTAATTTTATATCAGAGAACTCTGTACAACACAGCATAATAATAAGCACTGTATTAGGTTCCATGTCATCTTACATAACAAGAGGGTTGCATTAAGCAGTAAGGTCCTTGCCAAGTGTCTTTTTTAATTGTTGAAATGTTTTACATTCTAATGTGAAAAGTACATATCCATGTTTATAAGGAAAAAGTAATTTGTTGTGAGAGAGATATTTGAATATCATTATAAAAATTTCTTTTTGTTTTGCCTTCATGTGAGGAAGCATGTATCCCATTTTACCTGTATTTTCTTCTAAGTGAGGGCGTGATAGCTTGTTAGACTATGTATAATTAAAAACTGCAGCTTTTCGTGAGAATGAATTTTTAAATCCACTACTGGCTAATATAAAAATCTAGTCAGCCTTTGTAAAATTACATTAAATGATCATTAATTTAATTACCTGGTACAAAGAAACAAAGATACGGTCATTGATTTGTGGGAGAAAATAAATTTTGAGCATCTTACTTCCAGATTAAATACTGAAATAGTTTAAACTATATTTTCTTTGTAACTGTATGTTGATAAAATATATTATTTCTTTAGTTCTTTCATGCTGTATCATAATTTCCCATTATTGTTCATATAACAGAGGACAGTATCTTTAAAAAATAATTAATAGTTATCCAAAAATTACTAAATTTTATCTTTATGGATAACTACTATTTTTTCTTTTTAATATACTTTCCAATCATGATAATTTGTAATGAATGCATAGGCATCTAGAAAAATTGAGCATATTTAAGTTTGGTCTCCTTTTCCTCATGAAAAGCCTAGACTTTTCTTTTTTCTCTCTCTTTATGATTACAGAGTGGCTGGTCTAAAATCAAGTTGTCTAAGAACAAGCTAAGAATCATAAGCACTAAAACCATATTTCAAAATCTGAGCAACCAATATTATAGAAAAGGCAAAGATATACTTGAATCTGTCAGATCAATACATTCCTATAATCCCCTCCGGGACAATCATATAATTTGATACTTACAGTTAAACTCTGAAAATTATGTGACCATCTATTACATAATGGATGGTACGTGTCCTCAAACCTTTTTTATCACTTATAATACAAGACGGGCCTACCCCATTTTTAAAAATCCCTCCTGTTATTGATAATTGCCTAAGATGCTTCTTCCTTTCCTTTTTCAGAATGAAGAACAAATTTTGGTATTTTGAGTTTGGCACATCTGAAACTTTCTCAGCCACCTGCAAGAAGCTACATGAATCTGTAGAAATAGAAGTAAGAAAATGAATTATCTTTATAATACTATGAAATGGCTTGAGTTTGATTATTAATATGTTGTGCTAGCCCATGGAAGGAGTTAGGATTTTAGTGACTCATATAGCTTTACCCAAGATTCTAAAACGTCATTTCTGTCACTCATTGAGAATCTAGCACATCTGAAATACTAATATAAAGTTAAGTTTGAGTATGAGTTGTTTAATACAGCATAAAAGAATGAGAGGTGGAACACAACTTTGGAAATCAGTGGGCATAGTATGGACAGAAAAATGTAAGATAAAAGGAAGTACTTGAAGGGAAAGAAAAAAAGTTGCAAAATACATTTTTAAAAACTTATTATTTTCAGGTCTTAATATCTTATAACCTTTAAAACACAGTTCACTAAAATTGTACTTACTTTTATGAATAAAGTTTAAAACATATACTTTTCCATTCCCATTCCCATTCATTAACTAGGTCTTTTCTCAGTTCCTGAGGTTGCCATTTCCCCATTACATTTGTAGGAAGTGGAAAAGCCAAGAAAGAGAGCAAAGATAGCAAGAAAAGATACACTTTAAAAAGATTTAGAGCAAATACGTCTACCAAAAATATAGACATTGTAGGACTAAAATTTTTGGAGACAAGTTATAATAGAAAATGAGTTAGTTTTATTGAGAGATTTTTAGGGGTTAAAGAAAAAGGAAAAGTTATATTTTGCTAAGTTGTAAAGACAAATCGAAGGAACAGAATTATGAAACAGGGACACCTAATGACTAGCTGATATGAATTGAGAAATACTGGCTTTAACACTTTTCTTTTTAAAAAGAAATAAATAACTTGTCTACTGAGACCTAAATCATTAGTGGCAAATATTAGGGTAATAAGTTTGGTAGACAAAAGTAGTTATGGACCACAGAGAATCATAATAATGGTCTGGCTAGGTTCTTCATTATCCCAGCTTTCTAACTTACTGTTAATGATAATAACAGCAAAAGTGGTACTATTTAAGAATGTAATCTTTTGGGACTTTTTCCTCATCATGATTGACAAATAAATTGAAGTATTAGGGGTAGAATTGATTGTCATAGAACAGAAAAAGCTCTTCATGACTGAATCAGATCATAACCCTGAAATGGGATATAATCACAAGAGGTAAAGGATTTGGGCTCAATAGGCACTTTGATTGCTATTTGTGATGATAAATATGTGTATGTTATATATATATATATATATATATATATATATATATATATATACTTATACAGCTATATGTATATATATATTTATAAAAATCATCTAAGACCTCCCTTTACCTTCAAAGCTCATTATTTAAGAAATCATTATATAGTAGATTTTGAGCATTTCTGCCCTCAGAAACCGATGCTTGAAGAAAATCTGCAGCAAAAGGCAAAAATGAAAAAAATTTAAGGTATGGCTTCTGGTTGAATATAGGGTGGATACCCTGAAGCCTCTTGCACCTCTCCTTACTTTCGCCTACCACTGAATGTAGATTGAAAAAAAATTGTCTAAGAGAGATATTTCATTTCATATTTCATTTCATATTTCATTTCATGTTCATGGATAGGTAAACTCAACATTGTTGTGATGTTAGTTCTTCTCAACTTCACCTAAAGATTTAATATAATCCCCAAATTCCAGTAAATTATTCTGTGAATATCAACAAACTGATTCTAAAGTTTATCCTGAGAGTCTAAAGACTCAGAATAGTGAACACAATATTGAAGGAGCAGAACAAAGTTGGAGGACTGACACTACCTGACTTCAAGACTTACTATAAAGTAGTCAAAACAGTGTGATATTGGTGAAAGAACAGACAAATCAATGAAACAGAATATAGAGCCAAGAAATAGATTCCCATATATACAGTCTGCTCTTCTTTGACAAAGGATGAAAGGCAATACAATGGAACAAAGAAGGTTTTTTAAACAAATGGTGCTGTGATGACTGGACATCCACAGGCCAAAAAAAAAAATCTATTCACATTTCTTCACCCTTAACAGAAATGAACCCAAAATGGATCACAGAGCTAAATGTAAAATGCAAAACTTTAAAACTTCTAGAAGATAACATAGGAGGAAACCTAGATGGCCTTGGATATAGTGATGCCTTTTAGTTACAACACCAAAGGCACAATCCATGAAAGAAATAATTGGTAAGTTGGACTTCACTGAAATTAAAAATGTCTGCTCTTTGAAAGACAATGTCAGGAGAATGAGAAAACAGGCCACAGACTAAGAGAAAATATTTGCAAAAGACATATCTGATAAAGGACTTTGTATATTCAAAATATACAAAGAACTCCTACAGCTCAACAATGAGAAAATAAACAACCGTCTTGAAAACTGGGCCAAAGACTTTAACTGATACCTCACCCGAGGAGCTATACAGATGGCAAATAAGCAGCTGAAATGACACTCCATATCATATTTCATCAGGGAAATGCAAATTAAAACAGCAGTGAAATACCACTACACACCTATTAGGGTATTGAAAACCCTAAAAGCTGGTGGGGATGTGGAGCAATAGGAAGTCTGATTCACTGCTGGTGGGAATGCAGAATGGTACCGCCACTTTGGAAGACAGTTCGGAAGTTTCTTACAAAGCTAAACATGCCCTTACTTTATGATCCAGCAATCATACAGTATATATGCTATATACCTAAAGGAGTTGAAAACATTATGTTAACACAAAAACATGCACGTGGATGTTAGTAACAACTTATTTAATAATTGCCAAAACTTGGAGGCAAACAAGAAGTCCTTTAGTAGATGAATGGGAAAATAAGTTGTGGTATATCCAGACAATGGAATATTATCCAGTGCTGAAAAGCTACCAAGCTGTGAAAAGACAGAACAACCTTAAATACATTTTCCTAAGTGAAAGAAACCAATGTGAAAAGCCTACATACTGTATGATGTGAACATATGGCATTCTGGAAAAGATAAAACTATGAAGACAGTAAAAAGATCAGTGGTTGCCAGTTAAGGGGGACGGAGGAAGGAATAGGCAGAGCACAGAGGATTTTTAGGGCAATAAAAATACTCCATGTGATGCAATGGTGGTGGCTACAGGTCATTATACATTTGTTCAAAGCCGTAGAATGTATACCAAGAGTGAACCCTAATGGACACTGTAAACTTTGGGTGATTATGATGTGTTAATGTAGGTTCATCAGTTGTAACAAATGTACCACTTTGGTGGGGATGTTGATAATGGGAGAGGCTGTGCATTTGTGGGGACAGGGTGTATACAGGAAATCTCTGTACCTTCCCCTCAATTTTGCCATGAGCTTTAAACTGCTCTAAAAACTAAAGTCTCAATTTACAAAAAACAAACATCGATCTATAGTATAATATTATGTATGTCACAAAGTGAAAAATGTCCAAGGAAAAGTTTGTGTCACATAGCAAAAGACGTGTGATAAAAATAGGTATGGAAAACATTGATTTTAACATTACAAGTGATAAAATTCGGTGATATTGTTCCACTGAGCTTTACATCTTGAGAAGAACTCTTTCGGGTCATGTTTCTACATGCCCTCCAAGTCTGGCTTCCCAGCTCTGCATTTACTGCCTATTCTATGCACCACTGGAGTAGCATTTATAAATCGGAGACAGCACTGTGCACTCCCCATTCTATTGTTGCATATCTTGAAATACTGTTATAATTTTATGAATTTATCTTAATTCTAAAGCTTGTTTTGTGTGTGTGTGTGTGTGTGTGTGTGTGTGTGTGGAAGGATGGTAATGTAAAATCTGCTTCTCTACTCACTTTTTAATGAATCCAGTCTATCATATTAGCAGAATACGCCTTTCTACCCTCAAGGTTACTTCATAATTAAATATAATAAAAACAGCAGTTTGGAAATTTGATTCTGTTTGCTGTTGCTTCCTGGCCTAAAATTATACCAACTATGGTTTGAAAATATATGAGAGAATAAAACCACTTCAGTACAAGAGTACCTCAAGTAATGGATATATGTTTTAATGACAGCTTCTTCCAAACAAAGCATTTACTGTGTGACCCTTTACCTCATATCTCTCTTTCATTTAGGAAGCTGTTTTCTGAAAAAGGTGAATATTTGGAATAATATTAATATCACGGGCTAGTAGTTGATAAAAACAATAGCTAAGATTTATCTATTATTAAATATACCTCATGCTTGGAGCTAAGCAATGCACATCCATTACCTGTCTTAGTCTTCGTCAAAATCCTATGATTTAGAGATTCTCTTGCATCTCTATTGCAGAGACACACATATGAGCATTTTCTTTAATGATTTAAAAAAAAAAACAAGAATTGTGTTGCTTGCTGCCAAAATGTTTAAGGAAACAAATCAATTGGAGAATCGAAATATAAATATATACATAGAGAGATGAACAAAGGTGAAATTTTTAATTTTAAGAATTTCAGTTATCTATATACATAGAGAGGTTAACAAAGGTGAAATTTTTAATTTTAAGAATTTCAGGGGCTTCCCTGGTGTGGTGGCACAGTGGTTGAGAATCCACCTGCCGATGCAGGGGACACGGGTTCGTGGCCCGGTCCGGGAAGATCCCACATGCCGCAGAGCGGCTGGGCCCGTGAGCCATGGCCGCTGAGCCTGCGCGTCCGGAGCCTGTGCTCCGAAATGGGAGAGGCCACAACAGTAAGAGGCCCGCGTACCTCAAAAAAAAAAAAAAAAAAGAATTTCAGTTATCTTTTAACTTTGTAACAAAAGATAAAGAAATAAAAAGATTAAATGAAAAGCTTTAAATTTACAAGATAATATATTAAAAGCAAAGTTTGTATAAAACTACCTGGGGCATGGATATGTACCTGAGAATCTCAGGTCACCATCTGGGATTGAAGCTTACAAAGTTCATGAGTTTTTTATTTGTTCCATGTACCAGGCAAAGTTCATGAGAGAATAAAATGGCCCATTCTCCAAAGTATTTGAGTCTTTTGGTGTTTGGTAAGACTTGGGAGGGTGGTATATTTTAAGGCCAGGAATTTCC